CTTTGGGCAATTTTAATGTGGTAATTGAACATAAATGTTGCAGACACATGCACACAATTGAGCTGCAGCTGGAGGTGACACGCTTCTTACACCGCTGTGAAAGCTCACCATCCAGGACAGCTGTAGGCCCCGCCCTCACAGGGAACAGTGCCCCACCCACTCTGTTTGGAAACAGCCCCATGAAGGTGGATGTGGCCTGCAAGGTGAGCCAAGAAAACATGCTCTTCTGTATATATCCTGTATAACACAACCTAGTCCTTTTGCTGCATCCCCTTCCATATCTCTGTTTCTAAAGGTGTGGATGGATTTCTGTTAAAAGGACCGGATTTCACCTGTGAAAATTCACAGAACAATAGTAATCGTAACCACACCTTAATTTTGTAGGTTGTATTGGAGACAGTTCTTGACATCTTGCATTTATAGAATAGAATGTATTATAGTGAGGGGAGAGTGGACATGCTGCATATCTATAAAAAAAAATGTAAAAATATTTCGATGAACTATTTAAAATGGATGTCTTAAATCAATACATTTCTGCTCTTTTCTGGTCTGTGTTATGTGTGTATATTATGTTTGTAAGTGTTTAACTGTAAGTATTTCCCTGAATGGATTTCACACTTGATTGCGTGAGCTGATTATTTTGAATTCCGCAAGACTAAGTGTGTATGAGTAATGCATATTGTGGGAAGAAGAGATCTGTATGGATATGGTTTACAGCATTAACCTTACAGAATACTGAAATAGAAGTAGTTTTATAAACATAAAAATAATCCTATTTCATAACATTCAAACTGCACATTATGCTTAAAGTGCTGTACTCTAAGGCTGCAATTATACTACATGCATGGCCTAATGCAGATTTGATTTTTTCAGTGTACTAATATAATAAAGTAATATACGATTATAAACCAGATTTGAAAGTGGCCCAGATCAGATGCTTTTGCTGTTTACATGCATGCAGCAAGATCTGGTCTGTGCCAAATATGTACACTACCATTCAAAGGTTTGACAAAGGGGGACTTCTTTGAAAGAAGTTTCTTGTGTATTGGATTGAAAATACAGAAAAAAACTGTAATATTGTGAAGTAATGTTATTACAATGTAAAATAACTTTTTGATTTGAATATATTTTCAAATGTAATTTATTCCTGTGATGGCAAAATTTTCAGCAGCCATTACTTCATTCTTCAGTGTCACATGATACTTAAGAAATCATTGCAATATGCTAATTTGGTGCCCAAGAAACATTTAATATGATTATCAATGTTGAAAAAAGTTGCTTAGTATTTTGCGATATCTTTTGTAACATAATATAAATGTCTTTACTGTCACTTTTGATCAATTTAAAGCATGAATTCTATTTAAAAAAAAAATGTTTTAATGGTAGTCTCAAAAAAAGTCAAAACTGGTTGACAGTGCATTGTGGCATAAATCTAACAGAGACTAAAGATGAAATCTTTAACAAACACTGTAACCTCTCTGCATATTGCATAGGTGATGCTGGGAGGCAAGAACATCGAGGAAGGTTTTGGCATTGCATATCGAGTAATACAGGTAAGCACTTACGACACAGCGGTTACAGACTGAATCTTTGTCTTGTTTACAACTGACTCTGATTCTCTTGTTCTTTAATGTGATGCAGGACTTCCAGCTGGAGGCACTGGCGGTGTACATACGGGTCGGACAGCGCCTTGTCCGGCAGCATCAGTACTCGTCTGTGCGGCAGCTCCTGAAGTGTGTAGAGGAGTCTGGGACAGCCTCTAAACATGACTGTGACGCTATTGTGCTCAGCTGTGTCTCAATAGCTGATAAGAGTCCAGCTGATGTGAGTTCCCAACCTAACAATATTTCTGGATTTGCGTTGCTGTATTTGTATTAATGTTGCTTGAAGTCCAGTGTGAAGTTTCCACAGTCTGTGATGATTTGGGGTGCCATGTCATCTGCTGGTGTTGGTCCAGGTCCACTGTGCTTTATCAAGTCCAAAATCAATGTAGCCGTCTACAAGGAGATTTTAGAGTACTTCATGCTTCCTTCTGCTGACAAGCTTTATGGCGAGGCTGATTTTATTTTGCAAAAAGAATAGCACCTGCCCACAGTGCCAAAACTACTTCTAAGTGGTTTGCAGACCATGATATTACTGTGCTTGATTGGCCAGCTAACTCGCCTGACCTGAACCCCATAGAGAATCTATGGGGTATTGTTAAGAGGCCGCTATCAAAGCAACCTTGGCTTCAATAACGCCTCAGCAGTGCCACAGGCTGATCGCCTCTGTCACGCCGCATTGAAGCAGTAATTCGTGCAAAAGCAGCCCCAACCTAGTATTGAGTGCATAATTAAACCTACTTCGGAGATCTTGAATATTTGTGTTTTGTAAATCTTTTTTTGATTGATCTTTGAGAAAATATTCTAATTTTTTGAGATACTGAATTTTTAGTTTTCCTAAGCTGTAAGTCGTAACCATCAGAATTAAAACAAAACAAACAAAAAAACTCTTGAAATATTTCCGTTTGTGTGCAATGAATCTAGAATATAAGAAAGTCTGCTTTTTTTTGAATGAAATTACAAAAAATTAAGAACTTTTCCATGATATTCAAATTTTTTTAGATCCACCTGTATCTATCTGTATATACATATATCTATATCAGTATATACATATATATATACAATGTGTGTGTGTGTGTGTGTGTGTGTATTATATAATGTGTATATTTCTGAAAAATGTTGTTTTTCTTTTGTTTAGGCTAAAGAACTAGAGGGCCTGATTCTAGAATCTAAGAGTCCAGAAAACAAGGTGTGGTTTCTCTCTTTCTCAGTCCTTTTTTTTTTCTCACACACTTTCTTGCTCTCATTCACGCGCTTTTCTTTCTCTCTCTCTCTGTAGATAAAGGCATATCTTCAGTGCAGTAAGCTGCGGGCAGCGTATCTCCAGGCTGTGAAGCTTGAGCTTGTGAAGGCGGCTCCATTTGTACAGGATGTGATGCGGGCCGCTGAGAGCTCAGGTGACTCTGTCATGCACGATATCTGCCACCAGTGGCTCTCGGAGCATCAGGAACGATCGTCACGGCAACGACAAGGCAATAACTGATAACCACTACCAGTTTCTATTGTGAACTCTTAATTCCTGTTGGTCACTGAGGTATTCTGTTCTGCTTTGATTGGCTGGAGTGAAATAATATGCCAGGAATTGAATCACCATTGTGCCACTTTTGTTACATCATGTCTATTCACAATCTAGCTCTTTTTGGGACCAGTCCAACTACCAAACCTCATCCACTGAGAATCTGATGAAATGAGAAAAAGGCCTCTCGATCTACCGGTCCTCATCAGAAAGAAAACTGCTTAACATCACAAAACATTTTACAATTATGGCAACATTCACATCTGTGTTTTTTAGTATTTGACTGAGCTTATTCTCTTACCTCAGGAAAAGGGATTTTTCTTCTAATCACTGTGACTAAATCTCATCCTGATGGAACAAGGTCATATGGTAGTGAAGTTATCTGGAGTCTGCCATTAAATGAATTCTTATCTGAGTTCATGGCAAGTTTGCAATTGTGTCACATCAGACCTCCAAAAAAAAAGGCAGTTTATTTTGGTCCTCAGTGAGAGATTGCAATCAGATGTGGTTGGACTACAAAATGTATTGTTAAAAGGGAAGGTGTGATTTACAGGCATTATGATGAGGGAGCGCTGAGAACAAATATACGCAGTGTTTTAGATACTGCGAAACTAACAGTTACAATTGTAAAGTAAGGGATTCTGGGTATAACGTTGCAATTTTCGAAATATACTGTATCAGTGAAATGTTGCTTACGTGTTTGTCTATAACACAGATTACCCTACAATTAACGCCCTGAAATTATGTGCACTGTTTATGAATGTGTGTGTGAAAAAGGGTGTGTGTATATATTTACAGTATGTTAATCAGATTAAACTGTCTCTGACCCTCCTGTAATGTTTCATAATGTGAACTCTGTGAATGTGTATACATTTTATTGTGTAAAGTTAATCACAGTTTAAAAAGGGAGATGGTTTACTGGTTTTTTTAGGGATATGTTAAAGGGATATTTCACCCAAAAATGAAAATTGTCATGTCATTTACATATCTTCATATTATTCCAAACCTGTATGACTTCAATCTTATTTTATGTTCCACAGACGAAAGTAAGTCATACAGGTGTGGAACGACATGAGGGTGAGTAAATGATGACAGAATTAAAATTTTTAGGTGGACAATTCCTTTAAGGAACTACGTCTGTTTACAAGGCCTATGCATGTACTAAAATCAATAAGACTGTTAGAGCAATGTTGCCAAAGAAATGGATATACTTGTGTCTGAATCCAATTACAAACAAATGTCTCCTGAAGGGTGATATTAAAGTTATTACATTATAATTAAAAGTTATTAAAGTATAATTATATATACAAAATCTATATAAAACATTACTTCAGTCTAACAATGAATTAATTGTCTTTTTTATTTTGAGTAAATTTTTTCAATAATGAACTTACTTGATCTATCAGTTGTCTGTTATTTGCAACATGTCCTTGTGTATTTGTATTTTAGCAGAAAGGAAAATACAAAAATTATACTTTTTTTTACTTTATATATTTAAATATCTCTGGTCATGAATGTACCACAGTAGTTAAAAGCACATCTGTATAAAAGACTTCAAATATGCAGCTTCATGTGACAATACTAAGATGGGAGTTAAAGCAGCGTTCAAAATACAAACAGAATAAAACAGTGAATTTCAAATTCTTCACAGATTTGTTCTAGAGTCAAAGAAACTCATACTTGCATGTCTTACAAGGGCATGATAGAAGAAAACTGGCAGAAAGAACAAAGTGGGTTGTGCTAGCATGGATTGGAGAAAATGCACACAAATGTATTAAAGGGGTCATATGATGTTGCTAAAAAGAACATTATTTTGTGTATTTGGTGTAATGAAATGTGTTAAACAAAACCAAGACAGACAAAAGAAGTCTAATTACTGAAAAGGTGGAAAAAACAGAAGAGAAAAAAAGCAGGTCAAATGAATGTTTCAGTCCCACTCAATCCCTAGTAATTCACAGCTTACATCCCACAGAGTCCGTGCCGTCTCCTCATTACGTCCCTGAGGGGCCACAAAAGCAGGGGCACAATCACTGTGTGGGAGAGACAGAGAGGGAGGTTTAATAACATGCCAGTACCTAAGAAACTATGGATGATTTTTAATCGGTTTTAACATATAAAGCTATTATATGAAGACTTGGAATATAGTGAATGTATTCACGTTCACCCCAAAAGGGAATTCTGTCGTAATTTTCTCATCCTCATGTTGTTCCAAACTTGTATGACGCTGTGCAACACTAAGAAGATACTTTGAGAAATGTCTCAGTGTTTTTTATTTTGTCCAGACAGTACATGTCATTGTTAACCAAAGCAGATTATCACGACACATGCGCGTGCTCTCCTCTGAATGTAAACAAGGCCAGCGTTTACATAAAGCGGAAGCAAGCGCATGGTCGTGATACTCTCCAAAATGGGGGCACGCCACGGCAGACGGGATAAGGAGGAGAAGAACTGTTGAATAAAGTCGTTATTTTTGCACACAAAAAGTATTCTTGTAGGTTTGTAAAATTACGGTTGAACCACTGATGTCACATGGACTATTTTACCGATGTCCTTGCTACGTTTCTGGGCCTGGGAACATTTCAGTTGCGTTGCTGTCTATGGGAGGGTCAGAAAGCTCTCGGATTTCATCAAAAATATCTTAATTTGTGTTCTGAAGATGAACGAAGTGTAGCGTCTGGACCAATCAGACACACAATATATATTTTTTTAGTTATATTTAACAAATATTCTGTAACACCCCTCAGTTAACAAGCCATATGAGGGTCTATGGACCCTTCCCCCGAAATGCGTCTTAACACCTCAGAGTAAGAAAGTTATTTCCCTTAACCAGGAAATTAACGTTCTTAGAATTGACAGACAGTTGACCCTGAGAGGTCAAGTAAATACTTACAGCGGATCTAAATATTTATAATTAATTATAACTAGTTATGATTAATTATGCATATTCCCCCTTTGAGCTGATTCGCTACAAAGGTCTTACGGTTTAGAACAACATGAGGGTGAGTAATTAATGACAGAATTTTAATTTTTGGGTGAACTATCCCTTTAAACTGCAACCCATTCTAAAGTGTGCTGCACCTGAAATGTTTGCCTGAGATTGACTGGAGCTCCTCAGCGACGGCGCAGTAGACAGACGTCTGAGCTCCTTCCTTCGGGGTCTTCAGGAACATGGGGAAGACGGCAAACAGCAGCGACATCGCAGTAGAATGACGCATCAGCTCTGACCTCACCGTTCCGGGGTGCACGGAGTTCACTGTCACGTTTGACCCTGATGAAATACAAGTCAAATTGACATCTTCTGTAAGGCGGGATTCCACTTTTCGTTTTAGATTCTTGTTTGATGTACAGCAGTACTCACCGTGGAGCCTGCGCGCTAGCTCGCGTGTGAAAAGCACGTTAGCCAGCTTGCTCTGGCAGTAGGCAAGGCCGCTGTTGTAGCTGCCCTGACTGTGCAGGTCATGGAATCGAATCCAGCCGAAATTATGTGCCAGTGAAGAAACAACCACGATTCGTGATGGAGCACTACGCTTTAGCAGACCAATGAGGAGGTATGTGAGCAGGAAGTGGCCTGAATGAAAAGTGCACAAGTGAGTTGTCAAAACTTCTTTGTTATTGTAGTATATTTATGCACTAAATTAGTATTTATTCATATTTTGAATTAAACTTTATTTTTACATTTTCAGTTTTGATCTTTTATATATATTATATATATATATATATATATATATATTTCTAATAAGCTTTATTTTTATTTCAGCGTTAGTTTCAGTAATTAATCTTATTTTTTTTTTTTACATTTTTACATTTTTAATTGTTTTAGTTAACATTAACAATGGAATTTTTTTAACTTCTAAACTTATTATTTCTCCTGACATGTTAATTATGCCATGCGTAAAACACAAGTAAACTCCAAGTGTAATCTAATTTCATCTTTATTTCAATAAACAAAAACTTTTTTGTTTCTTAATCATTTTAGTTTTTACAGTAACAACACTGTATAACATCTATTTTAGGTTAAGACATGAGTAAAACGATAATGTACAGAAGATATGTAAACTTTTTTTTTAAGATTTACTTTTTAATGGTGGTTTTGCCTTTTTTAGGACATGACAGTATTTTAGACAAGATGCAAAGTGGGAGAGAGAGGGGGGATGGGACTCGAACTTGGGATGCCCGAAGCGCAACGGCGCTATATGTCAGCACACTGCCCGCGAGGCTATTGACGCCGAGATGTAAATCTTTGTTTTTATCATATCTCCTGATTTTCTTAATACCATGCATAAAATGTGCCAATTAACTAACAGAGATATTACTATGATGTGTCCTGAAATCATTCCTGACAGGCCTGTGCTTTTTTTTTTACAGTAAGAAAAGCACCTGCTTGTGAAGAAATTCAGATTTGCAAACATGTATATTAATATAAATACAAGTATTAGTCGCACTTACCCAGATGATTGACCCCAATATGCATCTCAAAGCCATCGACTGTCTTCATATAAGGACACATCATGATTCCGGCATTATTGACCAGTATGTGCAGGTGATCAACCTCTGAATGAAGAAACAAAACTCACATATCTGGGACTTCTGTGTCTTGGTTGTTGCATTGCATTGGATATCATAAGGCAATACCTCGCAGGAATCTCTGAGCGAAGGCTCGGATGGAACAGGTGTCGGCCAGGTCCAGCTCCCTCACCTCCACTTTAGCTCCACCCACTCGTGTACGGATCTCTGTCGCCGCCCCATCGCCCTTCTCTACATCACGACACGCCAGAATCACACGTGCACCTGTCAGCAAACAGAACTGAAGTGTTAATGTGTATTTAAACAGAATTATTCAAATAGTTTCATTAGGCATTTTTAAAGATGTAAGGTATATAATAAAGACATCGAAGAGTCAGACCTCGAGAGGCCAAATCCAAAGCTGTTTCCTTCCCGATTCCTGAGTTTGCTCCTGTGATCAAGGCAACTTTTCCATCTAACCGTGCTGTGGATTGACACACTCCTCCTGCTGATTATTTTCT